CATTACTGACACTAAGCAAAAAGACTACTTCTTCATTTTCCTTAAATTATCTGACTCTGAGGGTCCTTTAACTTTAAGCTACTACCAGCTGTCTCTGAACAAAGAACAGCACCGCCTCGGTTCGTTGTCAGATCGTATCTCAGGTGATTATAACTTCCACATTCTCTGTTATGCAGACATGCTTTGCAGGCTTTGTATATGACTTTGCCATAGGCTGCAATCAATACTATGCCTGCTGAAAAACAAATTATCAGATCAAATCATCAAACCATAGAGAATCCACCCGTCCTTGAGGTTGCAAACAATTTGCATAAAATCTATCCGACTTTGTGGAAGAGTTTCATTTTAAACATAATCTAGAAAATGTGTAGGAGTTGTAGACACTTGGGATTGAAAATTCACAGCAAACTGTACAGAGCGTTCCCTCTGTGATCCTTGGGGTCCACTGTATTGAGTCGTTTTGGACAGTTTGTTCTCTGCTGTCTGTCAGATCAATACCAGCGTTTGTGGACAAAATGCTTTAAAATAAAATATACATTTCAAGGTTGATATAGTTTGAATAATGAGGAATTATTTTTGCCATGCATTTAATTGCATTCTTAATAATTAATACACACACTGAAATGGACAGCATGTTATTCTAAAATGTGGGTCGGTGTGGTTGCACTTGTAGCCTGGAAACTGTAAAGATGTGAAACCGGCCTGAATATTTTATGTAAAGCTGTGGTTGGCGTGACAAAGTTCAAGTTGCAGCGGTGTGCGTTTCTCTGGTTCGACATTTTGGACTGTGTGTTCTTGGCTGCCGGAGTTTGTATCTTGTGGCTAAGCGATGACACACTCAGGATGTCAAACCCGGGGTGTAGCTGACCAGTAACTCAAGCCTGATAATCCAGTGCTGCTCTCTGAGGGAAAGTCAGCTAAACTTTCAGACAGCTTGCCTAGGGGTCCTCACCCGAGAAAACGAGGTGAGAAACAGCTCACAACACCTCCAAATGGAGTTTTGTTTCAAATAACAGAGTTAGAATAGGAGAGGAAGAGAATTAGATAACGGTTAAAGAGAAAAAAGGGTGCATTAGACCAGGGAGGCAGGCATGGCAGGCATGCAAGTGTGTAACTGAGTTCTGTCTGGATTAGGCCCGTTTGTTATGGATAAGGGAAGGCAAAGGGATGGGGGAATCAGTAGTAGGGAGAGATGAGCAATATTGCAAAGCATGCTACGTTTAAATTGTGATTGGCCCAGGACGTGGTCAATGTGTGACACTGTAACTGCACATTTAACAGAAGATACAAAAGTCACACACACACTTTGGGAAACAAGTGCCTCTCTTTTTTTTTTCCCTCCACTTTTTAGTTGATAGATGGGATTGATAAGTAAACATTAAAAACGCTCATGCTGTTTCAATGTTCACCAGAGGAAGGGACGAAGGGGGATGAGGCAGAGTCCTGCATCGGTTGACGGGTGACCTGCAAAAAAGGTGATTCGCGGGTGGTATTTTTTCAAACGCTTTTTTCCGGGTTCGGTTCTGGGTAAAACAAAGATGATGCGGGTCGGGTCGCGGGTGTTGCATAATAAATATATTAAAATAATAATAATTTAGTATAATGTTTAAATCCTCAGACCTCTCCCCCACGTGACCGCGCATAATCATAACCTCTGCAGCGCATCAATCTGCTGCTGAGCGCGCCACATTCAAAATGGCTGAGGTGAAGCTCTCTAGCGGAGAATACAGCATTTTCAATAACACTTCCTCAAGAGCGAAATCCAACGTCTGGGAGGCTTTTGGTGTCATCCTAGATGGAGAAAATAACCAACATCCCACGCTTTTTGAGACAAATATGCAACTGCATGAGTTAATAATTGCACGTTTTCACTGCTCATATAGCTGCGGGTTCGGGTCGGGTTGCGGATCTTGTGCCGACGGGTCGGGTCGGGTTGCGGAACTAATTGGCAATATCTGCGGGTAGCGGGGCGGGTTCGGTATTGCACGTCGCGGGTGCAGAGCGGGGCGGGGCGGGGCGGGGCGGGAGCGGGTCTTGAAAATCAGACCCGTGCAGGACTCTGGGATGAGGACATTTGGTTTTAACGGGTGTAAACTAAATCTGGAGTCACTGCATTCTCCACCGAACACACCCCTCCTACAAGGTCTATATTTACTATAGAAACCAATGCCTTTACCTGCCTAGCTCTGAACTGTGTAACACTAGTGGAATATAGCTGCAGATGAAAATAAGGCTGTTATAGATAGTAAGAGCCAAAAATGACAATACCTAATATACGAAATTACTTGATATTTGTCCTCTCCCTAAATATTCCCATTCTCTTTGGCTACAGGAGATAGATGTCCTCGCCGTTAGAGCAAAATCTCTAGGGCAGAAGCAACAGAAGTCTGTGGAAAAACCATTAGAACACTCTTCAATTACTTTGTGAAGGGAGACACATAATGGGATGGTAATGTGTGAACACAAAGAACAGAAAGGCTTTTGCTCCGAGACAAATTTTTGGAGTCGCGGCTAAAAAAGACTTTTTTTGAAATACGGATCTATAACAATTGCATAAGGAGAATAAATGTGAGAGACAAATTGCCCTCTGGCAGAGTCATGAAGGTGACTTGAAGGAGCTGCTCCATTTTAGCACAAATGTCGTCCTCCTCCTCCTCCTCCTCCTCCTCCTCCTCCTCCCTCCCCCTCCTCCTCCCCTCCTCCTCCTCCTCCTCCTCCTCCTCCTCCTCCTCCTCCTCCTCCTCCTCCTCCTCCTCTCCTTCTCCTATCCCACGTTAGCAAAGCACAACTTGTTTCAAGTGCCTGCTCCACGAACCGTTGGTCTCTACTCCAT